TGATGTGTGTAAAACTCACTTAGTTTTAATCCTACTTTAATTATCAAATAACACACAAAAGGCAGTGAACTATCAATTGTGGTATAGCTAAATAAGCGGGTATTCGAACACAGGGAACGGCAAATTAAATTAAAAACTAATTCTATCTAAGTTGATTAAGAAAATAGGGGTTTTTCTCTAGTTTTACAAGACTAGAAACTTACTAACTATAACTAATTAAAGACTAGAAAATGACAATTTAACTAGATTCAATAATGGGAAAGAACTTCTGTTTAGTTCAACTCGGTTAACTTTATGGTTGATTTCAAGGTAATAGTGCAATGGATTAATTCTTTCGTTGGTTACCGATTCAAGTGATTAGGTTCATGTTCACTACCCTAATCCTTAGCAAATAAACTAACTCAAACAGTGGCCAATTGCTTAATTTAATTATATTTACTAGATTAATTATTCGGGTTAAGTTAGACTTGCAATAGCTAATTAATTTATTATTCTTAATTAACCTCTTGTTTGATGGTCATCTTACAAGCTTGCACATGAATTTACTCAATTTCCTTATTAATCCTAGTTTCATATTCATTAATTCTAGACATATGGTATAGTGGTCACATATCATATGAGGTTGATAATCAATAGATGTTCATGCTAATCAATTATCTTCCTATTAACAGAAAATTAATTATCATTCATACACAAGGTTCTTTAGCAAGCTAAAATAACAAAAATTCACCAACTTGGAATTAATCCTACCAATCAATCAAACCATATTGTCAACTTTGTATTCCCAAACAGAAGTCTAAAGAATTTAGTTCATAACTAAGGTAAATAACAGCAAACAAACAAGTTCAAGTTGCTTAATCATGTTTGACAAAACAAAAGAATAAGTAGAATGATGAAATTATGCCTTAATAACTCCCGGAATTGAATTCTAGCTTCCTTGGTCAACTTCTAGGGTTCTTCTGGCTTCTTATTCGCAGCAAAGCACTTCTGAAACTTCCCAGCATTCTCTTCTCTCGATTTGTGGAGTTATCTTTAAATATGCGTTCCGACTCGTCGAGTCAGGTGGTGACTCGTCGAGTCCCTCTCACATTCTCCGTATTGCGATAACTATCTTGACTTCCGAATCATTATCCTCCTGAATCCGCGACCGGACTCGTCGAGTCCAGGCTCGACTCGACGAGTAGAAGCCTTTTTTTTAGGTGTTTTCCTTCTTCATTCCACTCTTGAGCTCCTAACCGCTTCTCTTGCTTCCTTTCGCTTCCGAGCTTCATATTTGGACTGAAAAACATAATTTAACACTTTTAAGTACCTTTTGTCCATAATATGCAATAATTTAGCTAATATATGAATAAAAAACTATACTTAATACACACTAAATATGCACATATCAAGATCGATTTCATATACTAGAATTAGGGTTTATAGTCTTGGATTCAAAGCATGTACAATAGAGAAACCTAGATCCAAGCATTTGGGTTTGTATGAGCACATAGGATGTCTTATGACCAAAACCCATCAGTTCGGATGATCGCAGGAAGGCGAAGGCGTAACCATACCCTTCCTCGATTCTATGTTTATGATTTCTGGGAACTCTGATGTGATACTATTTTGAAAACAATTTGTAATAACTTAATAATTTTTAAATAATTTAAAAAGTTCAAATTTGGCATGATTTTTATGGATGTGACATCGCGATTCCAAGATTTTTGAGTTATAGAACTCGGAGAGTTGAAAGGTTGATTCGGCGAGTTGGTCAACCCAAAATGTTGACTTTGACCATAACATTGACTTTGACCAGGAGTAAAATGGTCATTTTACCCTTAGCTGGATTTTCAATTTTGTAACTAAGTATTATTGTATAGAGTTAGTTGGGGAGTAGTAGGAGCAGTCAGCAGAGATTCCTCACTCATGAGATTAGCATCCAGTTTGAAAGGTGAGTTTTCCTTCAGTAGGAATGGGTTGAAGGCACCAATGCCGGCCCGTTTATGTATGTTAGTATGTGTCGAGCTTCGATCCGATGTCGGGGCTAGCCTGATGTAGATTATGTGTTCCGGCCTTCGGTCCGATGCTGGGGCGGTCCTGAGAAGTAGTTATGTATGCTTGATGTCTTTGTGATTCATGCATGTTATGTGTTATGTGTTCTGAGCCTAGGTCCGATGCCGGGGTAAGCCTGATGTATGTTCGTTTATATGTTATGTTTTATATGTTATGTGTTCCGGGCCTCGATATGATGTCGGG